ATTTCTCATTCACACCTTGCTAAACCCAACAATCCCCCACATGAATGGGGAATGGCTATTGTTAAAAACATATTCATGAAAAACTTGTGTGTCTTGTAAGTAAGGGTTAATCGCATTTGAATAAGTAGGTTTCCCCTTAAACTTTTCGTTGTGAACATATATCGGATATACTCGGTCAATCGGTATATTTGATATCTTTGAACCGTCGAGCTTTAGTGTATACCTAGACAACATAAGTCACACAATCAACCCTTGAACTGTTTTTGGTTCTCATTGTTTTGTTCGTTTCAGCCATGAACACATCTCGGTTAATAAGTGCTTAAAGAACTGGCCTTACCGGATTTTCCTTGAAGCGGCTTACACTTCACACTTACATAGGTGGTTTCTAACTGTGTTATCCCGTAGATACACTATTTGATATACCCTGTATCAAACTTAGAAACCATTAAAAAGTCCTTATGCCTTTATCCTGGTTACTGAACATTGTCTCATCATGAGAATGGACATAAAATAAATTTTGACAATGTTGAACCGTCATTTATGACTTTGTTTTATCTCCTTGAACCTAGATCTTGGGATCTCCAGTCTTCTAGGTAGAGTTACCGCCACTATGACTTGTTCTCGTCCATAGTCCCATTCCCGTCGATGATCTCTCAACTCCCTCTCTAGTTAGGCCTTTTGTAAGTGGATCCGACACATTATCCTTTGACTTTACATAGTCAATTGTGATAATTCCACTAGAGAGTAGTTGTCTAACAGAGTTATGTCTTCGTCTTATGTGACGAGACTTCCCGTTATACATAACGCTTCCAGCCCTTCCTATTGCAGCTTGACTATCGCAGTGTATGCATATAGGGGCCATTGGTTTGGGCCAAAACGGAATATCTTCTAAGAAATTCCGGAGCCATTCAGCTTCTTCACCTGCCTTGTCTAAGGCGATGAATTCTGACTCCATTGTAGAGCGAGCTATACATGTTTGTTTGGATGATTTCCAAGATATTGCTCCTCTACCAATAGTGAAAACATATCCACTCGTGGATTTCGTTTCATTTGACCCAGTAATCCAATTTGCATCACTATATCCTTCAAGAACTGCTGGATATTTGTTGTAATGCAAAGCATAGTTTTGAGTGTCTTCTAAGTACCCCAAAACTCTCTTCATTGCCAACCAATGACTTTGATTGAGATTACTTGTTTATCGACTCAGTTTACTTATAGCGCAGGCTATGTCTGGTCGTGTACAATTCATGACATACATCAAACTTCCCAATACTCTGGCGTAATCCAATTGAGACTGACTTTCACCTTTATTCTTAGCAAGATTAAGGTTTACATCAATTGGGGGTTTTGCCTTTTTGAAATTCAAATACTTGAACTTTTCAAGTACATTTTGAATATAATGAGATTGAGACAATGCTAGACCGTTAGGAGTTTTGTGAATCTTTATTCCCAATATTAAATCGGCTACTCCTAGATCTTTCATATCAAACTTACTAGCAAGCATACGCTTAGTAGCTTTTATATTGGCAATGTCCTTGCTCATTATCAGCATGTCATCCACATATAGGCATACAATGACTTCCTGATCCGTAGTGTCTTTAATGTAAACACATTTATCACACTCATTGATCTTAAATCCATTTGACAACATGGTTTGATCAAACTTTGCATGCCATTGTTTCGGTGCTTGTTTTAGTCCATAAAGTGACTTAACAAGTTTGCATACTTTCTTTTCTTTGCCGGGAACTACGAAGCCCTCAGGCTGTTCCATGTAGATTTCTTCCTCCAGCTCTCCATTTAAGAATGCGGTTTTCACATCCATTTGATGGATTTCAAGACCGTATACTGCAGCTAGGGCAATTAACATCCGAATTGATGTAATCCTAGTCACTGGCGAGTATGTGTCAAAATAATCAAGACCTTCTTTCTGTCTAAAGCCTTTGACAACAAGTCTTGCTTTATATTTGTCAATAGTTCCATCATCTTTCATCTTCTTTTTGAAGATCCATTTTGAACCCAAGGGTTTGTTCCCTGGAGGAAGATCAACTAACTCCTAGGTATGATTGCTTAAGATTGATTCAATCTCACTATTGACAACCTCCTTTCAAGAGGTTGAGTCGCTAGACAACATCGCTTCCTTGAATGTTTGAGGCTCACTTTCAAGAAGGAATGTTACAAAATCATATCCAAATGAAGTAGCTGTCCTTTGACGTTTACACTGCGCCTTGGACTCTCTTCATTGGTTTCATTCTCTTTTGGTTCTTCTCGAGGTTGTTTAGACCCTCCACTAGATGACTCAAGTCTAGTTTTATACGGATAGATATGTGCAAAAAATTCAGCATTATGTAGGGTCTCGCTGTGTCATTTTGACACTTTTTATATTTTCAAAATCGCATTTTAAGTGCGTACATCCAGATGCCTCTTATGTGGAAAAATAAACGAATTGGTATGTCACGTGGAAATTTTATTTTATTTTTAAAAATCTCAATTTTACTTTCTTTTTTTCTTTCTTCCAGATCTCAAACCCCATTCCCCCACCTCTTTTCTTCTTCTTCTTGCGTCTCCTTCCCCTTCATCTGTTCTTCTCCATCAAAAAGGCAAGAACATATGTTAGTTTACAAAGTAAAATACGTTTTGGAGAATAAGGGAAATCATACCAAATCGAAAAGTTTTTATATGACATTTAAAAGAAGATGATTTCTTGTGCTACTACGATTGGGATTTACAATGAAGGATATGTAAAATAAATTTCTTTTTTTTTTCATTGGAGGTTGTCCTTTATTTGTTTTTTATTCCTTGAAATCAATTTAATTTTCAATGGAGAAGGTAAGAATGTAAATCAATTTTTCCATTTGAAAGAAGTTAATTTCTTTTTTTGTTCCTTGAAATCGATTTTGTTTTTTAATATGAATCAAGATGCAAATTCGATTTTCAAAGAAGATGGAAGAATCAAAGAGTTTAAAAAAGTTGTGTGGTGATGGAGGATGGTAGAAGGTGGGGAAGATGGAAGGGAGAAAGCAAGGAAGAAGAAAATATTTTTAAAAAAATCAGAATATTTACAAAAAAAGTCTCTGACGCGCTCAAAATTCGTGTAGCACACGTACTGTGCTTAGTCAGCAAAAAGTGTCAAAATGACAAAGCGAGATCCTACATGAGGTGTCTAAAATGAACATCGCCCACTTGAGGTGCCTAAGTGAAAGTTGGTGCCAAGTTTAGGGGGCCACCGATGGGTTAGGCAAAAAACAAACTCCTTTTCTTATGATCTCATCGAATACTGTCCATGTCCTATCTTCCTTGAGAATTCTTTTCAGTGTAAGCCTTTTTTTTCTTCCTCTAACAGGGCCATGGATTTCAATGTATATTAGTAATGTAAGGGATTTAATACATATATTAGGATGATTAAAGACTTAATTACTCTTCAAAATCCTTTTTATATCTTTTCAATATTTATTGTGGAGAATATTTTTGTAAATTAATATTTTATGCAACATATGTAAATTTTAATCCACCAAATCAAGCAATGCATAAAAATTATTCATATATTCTTAATGCATGCATAACTAAGAACATTATTAATACACTCTATTGAACATTATTTTTATACATTCTATCAAATGACTCCATATTTTTTTGTACTCATGGCTACTTGTAATTTGATAGCAGAGAGAAACCGTGGCAGTGGGGTATAAATTATAAAATAGAGAATCAACTTGAGTTTTGTATTTATCGATAGTCAGTGGTGGAAGGGTAAAAAATGAGTCTAACTATAAGTAATCCATTCAGAATTTTAAGGATTGGACTCAAGATAATTTGAATTGAGTTTATTCTCAATCCATTCAAAGCTTAACCGAAATTAAGAGAATTTTCGATTAAGCCTAATTTAATCTTCAATTTCAACCCGTTTTAAGACTCTTTATTTATATTGAAAAGTAATGTATAAATGTCATAAATAGTCCCTTAACTCTAGGAGTAGATCTAAAATGGTCCCTTAACTATACACTTAACAGATTTAGTTTTTTAACTATTCAAAAACTTATCAGCTTTTGGTCCCTTAACTATAGGTTTTAGTCTCTTAATTATACACTTACCGGTTTTAGTTCTTTAAGTATTCAAAAACCTATCAGGTTTGGTCTTTGTCCATTTTTTAAATACAAATAACTTAGGTTTATATTAACGGAACCATGTCTCGAGAAATCAAATCCTTTAGCAATTGTTTCTGTTGTCTCTCTCTTCTACTTTTTCTTCAAATTAACTTATGCGAAGAACCTTAACCTCAACGATTTAAAATAAAATTCACGAGAAAAGAAAATATAAGTCATAATTTTATTCAACAGAGGATAAAATGAAGAATATTATTGCTACTAATAACTTGAATAAGCTGAACTTAATTATAAAAAGAAAAAAAATATTACTCGTTAAATCCAAACTTTGTACTCCAACGACTTTATTGAACAAAATTTGTTTAATTTTTCAGAAATTGAAATTTATAAAATGGTAGATTTGCAATTTTTTAAATAGATCAATTTTATTGTTCTATTCATGTTATTTTACGTAAAGAAATTTGAGTAAATTAAATAAAATCCGCAGTGATTAACATATTTAAGTGTGGATTCAAGTCATTTACAATAATTATATGCTTAATTTTATCCTCAATTGAATAAAATTAGGACTTATATCTTCTTTCATCATTAATTTTATTTTGAATCGTTGACGTTATTGTTTTTTTCATAAGAATAGTTTAAAAGAAAAAAGGGCGGGGCTAGTGGATAAGTATTTAGGGACGAGGGAGTAAATTTTTTTTTTTTTTTTTTTTTTTTGATTGAAGCAGTGTGACACGACCTTCCTGGATCCACACTGTTAAAATAACATTAATGCAAGTTTACCAACGAGCCTTTGTATATTTTACAATTACAATAGTACCGACCAGTCTTGGCTCTCTGTCTAATGTATCTATAAATAGAATAGGAACATCCCCACATTTGCAAATTGCAAGCATAACTAGTCTTCATTCCTCACTCTTTCATCTTCACACATACAGTAAGTAGCTATAAAGAAAGCATGATTGAATGTTTAGCTAGCTGGTTAACCCCCACAGTTCTCTTCTGTTTGTTGAATCTCATGATTGGAACTATTTTCATTACTTCAAATCTCAAAACTGATAAAAAACTCATCACCACAACAACTCCATCTCTGTTACATCGAGTCAACTCCTTTAATTTCTCTTTCCCTGAGAATCCATTTTTCTCCCATAACTCACAACTCGACCCTACTCCGTCTCTGCTACAACGGACAAAGTCCATCAAATTCTCTTTCTCACGGCCCGACCCAATTCCCCAATACGATGATGATCAAATTGAACCGCAGATAGAAGTGAGTCACGTGACAAGAAGTAAACCTGCCACGTGCACGGAGGTGAAAGTACAAACGAGGACGATATTGGTGAAATCGGCAAGTGAGAAGAAGATGCCGGTGGTGACGGAGATGGATTTGCGGCGACCGGCGACGACGAGGGAAAGAGTGACGTCGTCGTTAGGGGAAGATGAAGCAGTTGATAAGAAAGCTGATGATTTCATTAATAAGTTTAGGCAACAGTTGAAGTTACAGAGGCTTCATTCTATTCTTAGGTACAATCAAATGTTGAACAGAGGTGAACCATCCAATTAAATTCCCACAAACATACCCTTACTTTTTATCCTTTCTTTCCTGGGTCGATTTGAGTCGGTTATTAATATAAACATTTTTTAATTTGATTGTTAGTGATATCGGTTCGATTTGGTTCAATTATTAATCATATATAAAAATAGAGTAAATGTTATACTCAAAAGAGAAAAAAAACAATTCATTCAAAAGGAAATGAATTGAGTTCGTGCTATTTTGAACCTTAAAGTAATTCTTATATCAAAACTTTAATTATTATCTATTTTTAAAAATGTAAAACTAAATAAAATAAAGACTGGTTTACTTCATCGATTTGGCTTGTTTTTTTTATTTGATTTTTGTTTTGGATCGATTTTTATGAAAATACCCTACTTCTGTGTGTAAACTCCATGGATACCTTTCAACTTCTTCTTTACAAGTGAATGTATTAATTCTTGGCTTTTGAAATAAATTGAAATTATTGATAGAAGTTTATGCTTAAGTTTTGTATTAATATATTTGAATGTGCTTCGTTGTAAAAACTCAGAATGAAAGCAGCGAGAATCACCATTAATGGTGGATTCTAGAACCTACTGAACTCAAGATTAAGAGAGAGTTAATTGAGAAAGCATATTTCTCATTTCTGAAAATATGAAAACTGAATTAGAACTAGATACAGTGAGCTATATATATACAAACTGAAAACTAGAAAATATCTAACAACTAGGACAGCTGGCTAACAGAAAGCTAACTAACTACAAAACTGTTAACTAACTAATTCTGTGAAAGTAACACTGTTTAAACTAACTAACTAATTATGTATAAACTTATTAATCTCAACAGTTCTTTTCATATCTAACGTTGAAATTACTTATAAATTAGATCCTTCACTTCTAATCTTAAGATTATAGTTTGAGTTATCAAAATAGGAAAAATGGTAGCTCCCTGGTGGTTTAAGTGGTGTGAATAAACCAAACAAATAAAAAGATATAACAATTTAGGAAAATGCTATGTGGGTCTTTAGATAGATTATATGGACATTTATATGGTTCATTTTTGCTATTTTCTTTTCTGTTGTTTATCTCTCGTTTTTGGATTCATTTGGAGGAGATTTTTTTATTTTATTTTTTTGTTTACGACTTCTCTTTGCTTATTAATAAAAAAAAATAAAGCTATGGCTCAAATTGCTTTTAAAATGTGGGGTCTTTAATCTGTAAAATATTACAAAATGAGTTCCACACAAAAAGTAAATGAGGGAAATTAGATATAATATCTATTGGGTCAAAAGTTTTACTTAAAATGATCATTCGACTCATTTTATTCTACGTAGAGTGCAATTGCCCTTTCTTCTCTATGCCTATATCTATGTCGCTAAGGTTATATTCCATCGATGTATCTTTACTTGTCTATTATATACTTGTCCAATTTATAAAATTAATGAACAATTTACTATTTTGTGTCTATTTTATCTATGCTGTTAAATATTGTTCATTGTTTCAATATTTAGATGATTTATATTTTAATAAGGGTGATATGATAAAATTATCTCTATCATTTACTGTTTCTTAATTTTTGTGTCAAGTTAATAATGAACAACTATTATTGGATAGAGAGAGTAAATGTAACTCGCAGAAAAAAAACAAATGCATGCTCTATCAACAACAAATTCTCTTTATGATTATGCCACAACGAAATCAGAATATGAGCTTTCCATATCCAAAGTTTACCCCCTCTTTAAAAACTAGATACGGGATCGTGTGCTAATGCGAGCACGATACATGTTACTTTTTTAAAAATCTCAACTTATGTAATATTGGTTGAATTTGAATAGTCATTTAAATTTTTATATAATTTTTAAATTATTAATTATTGTGATTTATATTATTTTTTACATAGTTTTTGAATAATATATTGTTTCTTATGTCACAACAAATTTTGACACAGATTCAAGAGTCAACCAATTTTTTTTATGTGTAACGACCTATTAGGTCATTTTGAATAGTAGAACTATTTTGACTCTTTTCGTAAATTTTAAATTCTTATTTTGGACTATTAATTAATTATAGTTATATAATTAATGGGATAATTTTAAATAATTAACTTAATTAGTGATTATCTACTCTACAGTACATTGCATTTTCCTCCATTGTGTGACATATTTCACATTAATGATATTATTTTGAAATAATGTTAAAACAAAGATCATACCACTTGTGAAATTACACTTATTTTGTTATTGTTCTCAAGTCAAAGAAGGAAAAGGAAAGAAGAAACAAAAATGTTTAGTGTTTATCAATAACAACATAGATAACCACACCAAAAAGACTGCGGCATGCACAAAACAAGGTCTTTAGTATGTATTGCATCTTCAAGCGTATTATGTCCACTCCATATAAGCAGCATATGCTTGGTCACTTTAGTAGTATTCCTTAGTTCCCATCTCGTAAACGCATATAGTTTCACAGTGAAAAATGCAGAAAAGGTGACGAACAGAAATTCATATGGAATATTAACACTCAACCTATTATTTGTTTTATACTTTTATACACTTCTATCTAAATATGACGAACAGAAATTCATATGGAATATTAACACTCAACCTATTATTTGTTTTATACTTTTATACACTTCTATCTAAATATGACGAACAGAAATTCATATGGAATATTAACACTCAACCTATTATTTGTTTTATACTTTTATACACTTCTATCTAAATACGAAATTACTTATTTACAAATTAACTTTAGCGATTCATGCTTAGTCGTTCCTTGCAATCAATATTGCCAAAAAATTAGTATCCGTAGAAAATATCTTTGGGTAGTCAAAATTAACTGGGTTTAGGACTTTAGGCTTTCCAATTAGCCTAAAATTTTAGATAAAAGTATTAGGACTCTTGTTAGGACTCTTAGACTCTTATTAGGACTCTTAATTATGTGTAAGCATATCTGTACATGATTTCCTATATATATAGAAGTACAGAGGCAGGCACGTTGATTTGCTTCTGCTATTCACAAATATATTCTCATGGTATCAGATAGCCAGAAATTCATCTAATTTCTTCTCTACGACATGGCGTCTTCATCTTCCACTACACCAGTCATTCCTTCTAGCGTCACTACTATTCCAAGTTCAAGTCTTCCTTCAAGTGTTCCTTCTAGCGTTATTGCTATTCCAGGTTTAATTTTTCCTTCTAGCGTCAGTACTATTGCAGGTTCAAGTTTTCCTTTCTTTGGTCTGCCTCCTCCCGTTAGCATAGATTCTCAGACTCTACCAAATTTCAATTCTGTTGCTGCTCTTGCTACCCCTAATGTCACCAATTTAGTGACCATTAAGATAGGTTTTGTGGAGGACTACCTCACATGGCGCACTCAGTTCACCTCTCTACTACTTTCCCACGAGCTTATGGGGTTCGTTGATGGCTCAATTCCGCACCCTTCTCCTCTTCTTGGTGATGCATCTGGCAATCACCAACCAAATCCTCTCTATCGCTCTTGGATAAAAATTGATCAAAGTGTCCGTTCTTGGTTATTCACAACACTATCTCGTGACGTTCTTCTTGATGTTCATCTACTGGCCTTCATCTATCTCAGAAAAAATATGTATCTGATTTATTGCTTAAGTTTCATATGCATACTTGCAAGCCCGTTCATACCCCTTTTGCTTCTCGAACTTCCCTTTCACTTGTGAATGGTGAGTTGCTTTCAGATCCTACTGAATATCGGAGCATGGTAGGTGTACTTCAATATTTAACTTTGACTAGGCCTGATATTGCTTATGCTGTAAGTGTTGTTTCTCAATTTATGCATGCTCCTCGTACCACTCATCTGCACTCGGTGAAGCGTATTTTTAGGTACTTGCAAGGTACTATTACACATGGTCTTTTTATGAGCGCATCATCATCCACGTCTACAATGGTGGCCTATTCTGATGCTGATTGGGCTGGCTGCCCAGATAGTCGGCGTTCCACTACTGGATTTGCAGTATTTTTGGGATCTAATCTTATCTCTTGGCGTGCGAAGAAGCAACCTACTGTCTCTAGATCTTCTACTGAAGCCGAATATAGAGCTATTGCCTACACTGTTGCTGAAACCACTTGGATTCAACATGTTCTTTCTGAGCTTGGTGTATATCTCCGTGAACTAGTTTGTGTAATTAGCTCTATGTATATGACTCGCAATCCAGTGTTTCATGATCGGTCCAAACATATTGATGTGGATTTTCACTATGTTCGTGATAAAGTCGCTCAAGGAGATCTTGTTGTAGAATATGTGCCAACTCGATTGCAGTTTGCTGATATTTTTACAAAAGGATTATCATCGTCTCAGTTTTCTTTTTTGCGTGACAATCTGTCTGTCAATTCTGCCCGTTCAGATTGAGGGGGCGTATTAGGACTCTTGTTAGGACTCTTAGACTTTTATTAGGACTCTTAATTATGTGTAAGCATATCTGTACATGATTTCATATATATATATAGAAGTACAGAGGCAGGCACGTTGATTTGCTTCTGCTATTCACAAATATATTCTCAAAAAGAAAGCTAGATATTTCATGAAAAATTCAAAAATATCGTCCAATTACAAATTAACACAAACCTAAACCTAAATAACAGTAATAACACCAAAAGGCCAAATAAAAAAGGAAAACCAAGGGAAAACTTACCTATACAAGGAACCCACATAAACTAGGCAGGGAAGAGCAATCGTTTAGGAAAAAAAGAATACTCTTGAAGATTTGTGAAGAAGACAATTGATTCTAACTACAACAATATGAAATTAGTAGAGATAGTGAGGGCATTAGATGAGTTAAATGAGGTAGTTCAACCCTTTATTCACAAAGTACAAAAGGCAACAACAGAAAAAAGAACAAAATGTCAAAAATATCCTTAAAACAGCTGGTTAAGCCAAGATTTTTTTTGATCATACAAAAGAAAGTGTCCAACCTGAAAAGGATTACTATACAAGAACAATAATGCTAAAAATAAGGAAAAACTTAGAAATACCCTTAATCTAGGGTAAAGAAATCCTAAAAATAAGGAAAAACTCAGAAATACCC